TWWAAMWMYTYMAAAMYYMARRAAWKCTTTACARCTTGAYTGYTGTGGGGTCCCTGTGTATATTACCRCGGGATGGCATGGTACTCATGTTGCACCATGAAGCCAAGATGGCGGTCGAGGAGTGGTTTCTACAGGAAGAAGGTTGTCTTCARTTTAATGGCCGGCCTACATCAATATCGTATTCACCAACATCGCATTGCTTTATTGCTACTCTCGAAGATGGATCCATTGAAGTATTAGATATAAGYTCGGGACGTACATTAAAACGCACTTTCCTTGAAGGTACGTATTGGACGTTAGATCAAATCTTCAAAATGCATCAAAAATGCTCATTAAGACTTTGATTGTAGGCTACCTTAATTACTTCATTCACCATATCAAAGTTRTTAGTAAGCATGGTATATTTTTATTGTTTTTAACGCGCTGTYGAGTTATCTGCTTCAGTTCAYGTTGTGATACTGATGGGGAAACTCTGACCAACTTGTATAAGCTTACTTCCTCTTTGTCCGCAAGTTTCGCCGATTGTAGAGTTAATTACACTGTGGCCAAGGTAATGTTTATCTTTTGAATGAATTACTAATAACTCTTTGTGGTTTTTGTGGCTTCAGGGATCGATTCAAATGAATTTAGCTCGCTTCAGTGTCGATTCTGCCCAGGAGTGGAGAAACTTTTCGTCAGTGATAGCCATACAGTTGGATTGAGGAAGGAYTTCAATGGAGTTTTACTCCTGGATAGCATTTTACAAGCTCCAGTTGCTGAAGATTGTGATACTCCAATTACCTTAGAGCTTACCTTTGCTGATGTAAAGTTTGATATTGATAAATTTGTTTATTTAGTATATGGTTTAACTCAATTCTTATGACATTCCCCTCCATTCCCCTCCTTCCCACCTTTTTTCCTCTTAATATTATGTAGAATAGAATATCAAGTGTGGATTAAGTATAAAATCAGTAAAATCCTTTATCAAAATTCTGTGTCTAAAATCAGTTTGGTTAAGGAAAAAAACAGATTTTTTGTCATTATAAGTTCAATTTAATTAAGTTGAAATTGAACATGAGCTAACTTAGGATTAGTGCTAATTGAGCTGAAGAAACCTGGTCGTGATGTCCTAACAAAGGATTAATKTATTCTTATGCAAACATAGTTCATACAAGTTTCAAAAAAATGTCTCCAAAAAATGTAATCTTTGATTTAATATCATTACTATGTACACAGGCCAAGCAGTTACAAAGTGGGGTTGAGTCATGCATCCCAACAGCAGTTCCTCCTGTCTTGGATGTCATGGAAACCTTGCGAGARCAACTCAAAGGAGAAGTAAATAAATATCAACCCTCATCAACAACATTAAARTCATCATCTAATAAGTCAGATAAAGCCGCAAAGGTATAAACAATAAATTTTTTTCTCTGTTTTTTTTTTTTTTACTGAACTACCTCGCAGCCAGTGGTGCATAAGGCCTCCATCCAGTTTCTCCATTTTTCACTGTAGTGCTTTGTAAATAATTATATATTTTTTATATATCTTATATCAAATTTGTAGAGCTAGGAATGTATTCAATTACAAACATTTACAAAGTCACCTTTCCAAATATATAACATTGCAGATATAGTTCTTAAATAGAGTATATTCAATCTGAAAAATGAATGAAATTTTAGTTTTTTAATTTTTACATTTACAGTGGAATACATGTAAACTCCAACTTCCTGCTGGTGCTTTRCTTTGYGCCTTTGATGGCATGGTGACCTCTTTGCATAAGAACCACAGGACGAGTGCAGCCTTACCAATTGCATCTGCTATGCTTGCAAGAGTGATGACACTTACAGGAACATCTGTYTTAGAGAAGAGAGGTCAGCCTGTGTATAAACAATTGATGTTTGTTGAAGCTGCAAGACGGCAGACTTTCTCAACATGGCCACACAATGATTACAAGTAAGCGTTACAATTCAATGTTTAAGGATGGTAATGTATTATTGTTTTATTTTGATTGAATTCTCTTCAGTTTTGTTTATTCTTGAACTGTTCTAAATGCCATTCACATTTGTAGGGAGGTTTTTGCATTTAGTTCAATGGGTAGGWAGGTTTTAAARCGCTGTTTTATCAACTCTGTGTAGCCCATTTGCTTCTTGGWCCAAGACYGTCTTGGTCCAAGGCATTAATTGCAATGAACCGGCCAGGAATATAAATAGCTTGACGAATACAAAAGAAAGAAAGATTAGAGCTTACAAAAAGAAACATTGCAAAGTTGTTTGAATAAAGAYGATSCTTGTGGAAACTGTTGAACTTGCYTATAAATTGTATACTATGCCGAGCGGCAAAGAAGGTTYGAATTGTCAACTGAATTTGGTCAAAAGGAACACTAKCTGCACCTTAATACAGTAAAGWACCTTTGATTMGACTGGATATACATTCCCCCGTGATTTTGAAAAATTATTTTGACTTCCCGACATACAGTTTTTATAGAATGTGAACTGTGTTGGCTTTATAGCGTATGAGCTATCAAACATCTAGCAGAAAATCGAAAGGTGATGAACTGGAGTCCCGGATTAAAAATCTATTGCGCATGACTCACAACCTATCTTGACGTCACCAAACACTATTCATACCCAGGGATTTTTTTACACTTCCTATTTGGCACAGGAAGCCCTAATACCAATCTTCAAGGTTAAATATCCGATCACACTATAAAACACCGCATTTAACCCTCAGACTCCCAAAAATCCATCCCAATTTGTGTCATTTTAGGGGTTATAAGCACTTTAAAACAATGTATGATTTAGATTAATCAAGCTGACCAAATGGGTCAACAAGATTTATTTGTAATAAACTGACAAATTATATACCTGCTTTTAGTTTAKTTTATTCTGACCAGTAATCAAATGTTACATGTTTCCATTTACAAGGTGGGCTTATCCAGAGGCCATGGCTCAAGCAGGGTTCTATCATCAGGTAAATATTAGAATTCTTTCATATCTTTGTAGAGCAAACGCAGGAAAACCATGAAATAAAACCAAAYTAAATACTGACAAATARCGGCTATTTAGAGACAATTTGTCAATGTCAATGAACCAGAACACAATGAAGATGAATCCACATGGGTCCATTTTTCATTCATCTTTATTGCATTCTGGTTCATTGATACTGACAATTTGTCTTTAAATAGCTTAGAACCTAGGGATGGTACAGGGATGATATCTTAGGGATGTACCTAGAGATGGTACAGGGATGATATCTTAGGGGTGTACCTAGCGACGGTACAGGGATGATATCTTAGGGGTATTCCTAGAGATGTACAGGGATAATATCTTAAAGGTGTACCTAGTGACGGTACAGGGATGATATCTTAGAGTATACCTAGAGATGGTACAGGGAGGATATCTTAGTGGTTGATTGACATGCATATTTCCATTGTACCCTTACACTGATGATGGTAGATGTTATGCAGAAACATCCCTGATAATAAACATCACACAAGGTTGACAATTGTGTGTTTAGTAACAAGATAATAGGGTTACGTTATTGAAATACTTGTTTATGACTGCTATTATGATTATCGTTTACAGCCCGTCTGCACAGGAGATGACCGAGCAATGTGCTTCACCTGCAGTGTCTGCCTTGTATGCTGGGAGCCAACYGATGAGCCATGGTAGGAACAATGCTACTGTACAATAATCGTACAATAACAAAAACGAGTACTTACATATACATGTAGAGCAAATGCAGRAAAGCCATGAAATAAAATCAAACTAAATACTAACAAATAGAGGCTATTTAGAGACAAATTGTCAGTATCAATCACAACGCCAATAAAGATGAATGAAAAATGGTCCCATGTGGATTCACCTTCATTGTGTTCTGGTTTATTGATACTGTGACAAATTGTCTCTAAATAGCCGATAGTTGTTAGTATTTAGTTCGATTTTATTTGAACTTGGGTTTCCTGTGTTTGCTCTACTGCAACAATAAATGTTTTTTATTGTTTGAAAAAATGAAAAAACCAGATGACAAATTGAAAAGTTTTAAAGTTAATTTTTTCTTGTTTTGAAGGTCAGAACATGAACGGCATTCAGCAGAATGTCCCTTTGTGCGAGGAGACAGAACTGAAAATGTTCCTATTTCTGGTTTGTAATGCACCTTTCATAAACAYCAAAACATCWTTAAAACAAACATTGATTACATGTAAAGTCATTTATTTTTTCAGTAAGTCTTGCTACAACTCCAGCGAAATATCATGGAAGTTCAAGAAAAACTAAGGTTTGTATCGCACTTCATCCAAATTTTAGATTAATAATTAGATTGTGTGCTCATCATCTATTTTGTCAATTTTGGATTAAATAATTATTTATTACAGATTACAAGTATTAGYTCAAGTTCATGTCCATGTTTGATGGCTACTAGTTCTGACACAGGGCATATTATTGTATGGGATTTATCAGACCAGCTAAAGGTAAAATTCGTTCTTTGCCAATTAAATKATTTTGGTAGTACATGGGTAGTTCATTCATTCATTCACAATTCATTTACAAGTCATTGCTTATTCATTAATGTATCCTTTATTAATTTTTTTTTCTTTTGGTTTACACAAAATATTACATTTTTTCTGTGTGCTGCAATGTACTATAGATTTATTTATTTTTGCTGTTAGGTTTACTCTCAATTCATGGTAGATCCAGATTCTRAAGCAAATGAAGGAAAAACATTTCAAAAAGATTTATCATCATTACCTAAAGCCTGGCCAGATACTCCTGACAATGAAGAATCTATAATCATAAACCCAGTAGATAAACAAACAACACCAATAGAAAATGCAGTAGATCCTCCAAAAGTATCTAGTAATACACTTCAAGAAGACAACAGTATAAATCCAATTCAAACTCAGGATGATAAACTAGATAATAATAAAGAAGATGAAGAAACTACATGTGCAAGTGAAGCACAAGAGCAACAAAGCGAAGAGAATGTATTAACTGTAACAGTCGACCATGACAAGGATGCACAAGCAGACCCGGAGGAGGCTTGGTTTAATGACGAGGAAGATTCTACATCTTCACCAATTATTGAAGAGCCTGAGGAGTCAAGTGATGGAATAGTTGAAGAGCCAGATAGTCTTGAAACTAAGCCAAATGACGACAGTAAGTTTGTTTGATGTTTGATTCTTTATTTTCTATCTACTTCATGTCTTAGTGCTAAAATATCAAGTAATGTATGAATTATGAAGGGAAGAATTAACAAATAAACAAGTACAGTGAATGCAAAACTAAATGAATAAGAAATTATCTATTGTAATTATACTAACAAATGAGAACACTCTAATTCTGAGGAAGACATTGTAAAGTATTTTAAGTCTTTCAAGTCTATAAATTCATGCAGTGGATCAGTGGAATACTTTACACTTTAATTGCCTATAATAGTAATTTTGATTTCTATCTGTACTTCATTTGTAAACCAAATTTTGACATTTTGAATGATTCTTTTTAGAAGCAGGCACAGATGGAAGTGAATCATCGTCACCAACAGACATGGGTAAAACACATGGTTTACATATAACAGCCTCCGCAATTGTATGTCCACCTGACCTGGATCACCAACATCTGAAGAAACTACACACTGCTGACCACAAACCAGTGGTTATAGCAGGCATTCACCCTTGTAATAATGACAGCAATGAACTTGATAACATACCTTATCTTTTGCTTTTTGATGCTTCCTCTGACAAGAATATTACAATCAAGAAACAAGATAAACCTCCAACTGGGACCTTGAAAACTGGGCCAAAAGTAGCATCTAGCCAGCATTATGGAGGCAGTCAAGAGGATCTTTACAGYATACTTAGCAGTGATGATGATCTGGATCATGAGTTATTACCGACTGTGCCACCAACTGGTATACATTCAACAGTTATTAAAAAATGTGCTGAAGCAATAGCTGGTAAAAGTCHACAACAAAACGATGAAATTAAGATGAAGCAACGTAATGTAATACAGAAATTAACATTTCCATGCGATGTAGCAGGGAGTGATAGTACTGTTTCTSAAATTATACCCTGTTTAGATGGACACCACGTGTTAGTTGTTGTTCATAACCTAGGGCATGCAGAAACGTCATCTCAAGAAGACAGCAATATGTACCTTAATGGTGGATTGAATTGCAAGATTTGTAGAGATGAYAAAGATTTAAATAAACTGAAAAACCATGGAACTGAAGGATGTATAGTACTGATATATCAACTCATATTGAGTAAAAACAGTACGCCAACACTTTCAGAACCTATCATATGGAAGAAACTCTCCCCGGATAATACTTTATTCAATGTCATCGGGGTACCTGTAGATAACACTGAACATGTTGACTATTCAAAAGATTTCTTTCTAAGTGATATAGATGACGAACTTGGTTTATCCACACGTAATGACAAGACTTGTAATGGACGATTTGCTGGTATAACTCGGGATGGCTGCATCATGATTATTAATGCTCAGACTTTAGATACACTGGCAAAATTCTCTCCRTCTGGTTTGGTAGACCAAGTTGAYGATAGTTTTAATGATATTGTGTATTGCCCTGGAATTGACTGCTTGTGTTGTTCTACAATACAAGGAACATTGCATTTTTTAAGTTTAGTTCACAACCATGATACTACTGATTCTGAAGGAAGTCCGCAAGGAATGGTTACTGGTGCTGATGCTTTGATAGGTAAGCTACTAAGGGGGAAGGGGAGGGGGGGAGGGGATAGGTCTACATTGGTTGAAACCTTCAGGGTCATAATTTAGTTGTTTACTTTTCCCTGGAGAATTTGATACATACAAACTAGCCATACTACAATGGGCACTGCAAAGCATTTCCAAGAGTGTCTGCAATTGCAAGGCTCTGTAGTAAAAGGATGTGCATTATGGCGATATGCATTATGGCGTCATTTACTACAACTACCAGAATGCTTTGACAACTTTCTTTTGTAATGCAATTAGTGCCAATTGTTTTATTAATCTCTAAGGGGATTAAAAATCTGAATAACAATGAAAATGCGCAAGGCTCTCTGGTAGTTGTAGTAAAGTTACGTCATAATGCAAACGGCCTATTGTCAGTAACTTCTTTGAAGTTAGGATTTGACTGCCTCTAAGGAAGGCATGTCCATATAGTTGACTGTATCACTAACAAAGCTTATAATTATAAGGATAATAATCATTATTATTTTTTCACAGAATCTATAAGTCAGACAGATGAGAACACAATTCAAAGCTTACTTAAGTTACTCCAAAAAACTGAGTTTGAAAATCTTGTGCCAAGGTTTACATCCATAATTCCTCCATGCTGGACAGAGATACAACAAGAACAACAGCAACGACAACACCCACAGCACCTTCATCAACAGGGCATCGGTGATGCTACGATGCACACAAGAACTTGGAAACTACAACAGGAAAGCAAAGGGTAAACATTGAATAATAAAACATCAGGGAATAATGAAGAGTTAGCAAGATGCAGAAAGGAAACCTGTACTGGGAATGTTGAAGTCCTTAATGAAATTAATGGTAGAATAGTTCAAGCATCCATAAAGAACACTAGCTAGTGAAAATTATGATTTTTCTTAGATTCACTATTTCTAACCAGTAGATATTGCTATCATTTGTGGACTCAGACCATCTCAATTGAAACCAAAGTTACTTATCAATAGCTAACAGTTTTCTTTTTACCCTAGTCAAGCCAGCGGTGAACAGGTGTTTGAACTTCTCCTCCCAAAGCAATGTCATGTTGGTCATGTTGACGTGAAGTTYTCTCTCAATAACACTAATAATTCTCCTGTCAACGTGTATCTTCTCAAACCGTGGTCACTCAAGTCATGGCAAGAAGAATACAGTTCAATTAACAAGAAAGTCCCAATTCTGTCAGCAGCCAAAGAGAATGGACATATCCTTTGTGGCCCTGTTGAAATCCAAAAAGGACCACATCAAAGAATAGCATTAACTTGTCCTGACTTGGTCAARACAAGRCACCGTATTCTTTTATTAGTRTTTGAAACAACACAGTCAGTGTGTCCTCTGGAAGAGATATCAGTGACTGTAAGAAGATTTAAATTCACTCCTTCAAATCCAGGCTTTGTACAGTATCCCATAATGCTAGAGGAACCAGCATTTCAACGTAGGCTAATCGATATYGYGTGTAATCCTGGTCGTGATGCAATATTGGCTGAAAGTGTTAGAAAACTTGCCTTGAATGTKCTTTGTTGGATAGCAGGAGTATGTGTTCACACACCCATTAGGTACTAYCTTRTTCATTGTTTTCTAATTTGAATTGTCCAGGAATTATTGTTTTATTTTTCCAGGAAAAAWTAATTTGTTATTTTTCCAGGAATTTTTWTCAGGCATATTTTATTTGTTTTTTCTTCTTTCCAGGAATGATTTGTATGATATTACTCTTTATAGTAGTTTTTGTTTATTGTTATTGTGTTTGTTTTGTGAACTATAGTGATGTTATTATTTTATTACAGAACCAACAGCATGATTCACCAGGTACAAGCAAGGCTTCCAGAAATTATTCCTGTATGTTTCCTTCAGTCTGGAAGATCTGTTGCTCATCAGTGTTGTATACTTTTATTACTCTGTGCCAGGTGGGTATGCATTCATTATCCATTCATTGGCTTATCCATACATTCATTTATTCTTTCATTCATTTRTTTTATCATTAAATCATTTACCCATACACTCTTCAATCAATCTTTCTTTCTCCATTCACCCACTAATCTGCTCCTCCCACTTTTTTTCATTTTCTTCCATCCATCCATCCATTTATTTATTGCTTTCATTCCCTTTTCATATTCAGACAGTCAAATTGGGACAAGAAATTTGGTATATCCMACACAGAACATCCCTTCCGCTCCGCTCTCCTTCAAGCAATACTACATATCCTTCCTGATACAACGAATGCATTTTCTGCTGGAGCACTGCACTCACTATTCTCAGTACTGATTGGTTATGCAGCAGTGGCTGATGTCAGGCAAACAAATATGGTATGTCAAGAATTATTAACAGAAGTATCTACAAAGATGGATTCTCTCATGTTGAACTCGCATGGTATTCTACATGGGAGGTAAGTGATGTCCTGTTGATAGGCATATCTCAGTGTAAATATAGTTCACTTTTCACTTTCCTGTGCCAACTTCAAAGACAGCTCTAACTTTTCATTGATATGAGATGACCAGTGCATTACACTGCGATGATCATAATTCATGCACATTTATTCACCACAGTTCGAACCRTTCTTCATTTGTTCATTAGTATGGATGGGTTCACCCAGTAAAATGACCGCTTGTCAACATAGTTGGCTTCATAGCTCAGTTGGTAGAGCACTGCGCTGGCATTGCAAAGGTCATAGGTTTGATTCCTGTTGAATCCCAAAATTACCTTTTCAGTTATGCTTCCTTTTTTTTAATAATTGCTCAGATTATTATCTACACTGCAATGATCATTATTCATAGTGTGCTTGCAATACTTGTGATTAATTGCCCTCAGTATGAATAAAGATATCTAATGCTGCAACCTTGCCGTACATGTATGATATTACCACTTTTCAATATGAATATGTTGTAAAGAACTATTTATGTATTCTTAAGGTATGGTCTCTATGGTTTGCCGTTTGAGCCAGTACTATTTGACCTGACTTTACCACCTACATCACAGTCATCAACGCCACCGCCAGTTACTATTTCACCCCTTASTGCCCAGACTTCATACCCAGGACAGTTGATATATCAATCCCAAGCTAAGGGTTATCTAGGACCTGGTGGACCTAGAGAACCMATGACYTCMTCTAGTGCTTCAAGTAGTAAGGCATCGTCTGGATTGATGAAGGCTACAGGTGAGCTAATTAGACCACAACGTAGAGTGGGCTAAGTAACAATTAGATCTCGAGGGTAAGTGTGGACTACCCAGCTTGTAGTCCATGAGGACGAGGGATCTAATTGTTTTAGTATTACCACACTAGTTGGACAAAAAATGAATGAAATATAATAAATAGCTTAATGTTTTCATTGCTAAAAAATACGCAAAAAACTGCCACTTTTTGCTAGTCGAGGACTGTTAAAAATTGAGACTCCGGGTAGCATAGCCAAACAGAATGAAGGATTTGCAATAGTCCACTAGTATGGTAATACTAAGAGTTAATAGCACATGAGACCACACTCTCAGTTGAATGGATTATCAATTTGTAATTCACATGTAGACCAACACTATAAGATTTAGTGAAGTATGTTTGTATCAATGYTGTACTTGTTGACTTGTTGTAGGCCTGCAAGACCTTGAAGGACCCTCTGACAACACACAGTACCTTAACTCCCTTATAGCTCATCAAGGACTACTTGAAGTAGAACCACTTCAYTTTACCTGTATATCCACAAGTGATGGTGCAAGAGTAGAAAGAGCAGAGTCATCGCAGGGAGTACCGGTGCCTGGACTACCAACAGCAGGAGCRGCAGCAGCRGCGGCAGCAGCTGCTGCAGCAATAGGTGGSCAYTCRCTACCATCAATGTTACCTACAGTAGCTGTGTCTCCYGAGCCAGACATTGAATTATTAAAGGTGCGTTAAAYAAAAAAAARCAAKAATAGTGCACAAGATACTAAGTAAAAACAGTAAAACAAACAAATWAYCACATTAACATCRCAATAAAGTGATCTCTATTACGCTGTGTTAGCCTCAAAACCATGTACTATATTCTTTTATTCACTGACAGCCRGTGCAAATGCAAGAATCTGATCTGTGAGTATAGAAGACAATGGAAATAGTTTGAAATTTAACGAGTTTTATCAAAATTTCTGAATATTTYTGACTTTCTAACACAGCGTAGAAGAGATCTTGAAACTCAGCTATTAAATGCMMCAAAACCTAGCAGCATGTSTAATACATTTWAAWTTGCTYATGCAAATATCAAKATTATTATTTCATTTTGRTGTTTTAATACAGCAGCATTATCAACAGCTTGCAAAGATTCAACTCCAACACAAACACGTCCTGGAGAAACACAAGCAAGAACTAGAGGAACTAGCAATGTGGTCTTTATTTCCTAAGATGTTATCAAAGCTAGAGACTGGGGTATCTAGTGGAGTTCTTCCTAGCAGTGTTCCTAGTAGYGATGTGACATATTATTTTCATGACGGCCATTCTTTCACTGGTTACAACCAAGGAGAATCTGTCAACTTGTCACAACAGAAGAAACTAACTCATCGCATGGCGTCCAACAAGAAAGGRTTRTCACCACTGACACCCATTCACAGACAACATAGTCAGGTAATGTGGGGAACAAGCGTTTTAATATTAATGTTGCTGATGCTGATAACAGTGGTGACGAATAATGATGGTGATGATAATGATGACATTGATAACAATTTTTATAGTGATTATACTTCATGATAATGATGATGAGARTTTTAGTAATCAGTAATCTATTCATTTTAGTAATCAGTGACAATAATGATTATAATAATAATTGTGATGATTATGATTATGATAATGACAATGATTAAGGTGATTGATAATAACAATATTTCCATTCAAATCGTTATAATTTTTTTGTTTTGTTTTGCAGTTACCCCAACCCCAAGCCCTCATTATTGACCGTCTGCACTCTGGTGCTCGTCATCATGTSGTATTAGACTTTGGATCTCCTATGGAACTAACTGATATAATCATATCTTCCAAGAGTGATTTATCATCACTTTCTATTGACGTCTGGCTTGAAGGAGAAGAGAAAGATGCACAAAGAATTGCAATTGTAGCTGATATTGGATCATGTGATTGTGTGTTGAAAGACCTTCACCCTCCCCCTGTGTG